AATGTAATATACTGCAACTTACTTAGATGAGGTAGCTGTATTAGTTTTCTTTTGTTAGTCTACGTACACTTTGTTCTAACAAAAATACCTATTACCCTCTCAGAAATCCAGTGTCCTTGAACTTCTTGTCCAATCTCAGATAATGTTATCAGAATTCTCAGCTATCCCAGTTATCCCCAGCTATCTCAGTTAATAGCACTCCCAGCTAACAAACCACCTCCTCCTATGTAGTTGAGAAGGGGAGGTGTTTTAGTCTAAATCAGGAGAGCAGTCTAGTGTGACAACACTGCATATGCAGTGGCATATCAACAATGTGTGCAGTGAGTGCAATATCTGTAAAAAATAAGTCAAGGCAACTGGACTTGCTGTATTTTTCTTGAAGATGTTTCACTGGTCATCCAACCAGCTTTCTCAATTTAGAATGACTTGTACAAAAAATTATCAGGGACTATGGTGAATGTTGCTCCAATCCACATAATCTGTTAGTCACAACCAGGAGTTGATTGCATATCCAGTTGCCTTGACTATTTTTTTACAGATATACCATGACCTGGATGAATGCGAATCTTCACAGACATAGTGAGTGCGATGCACATAGGCTCCAAGGTGGCATGGGGACCAGTGTGCACACTGACTGCACAGTGCACACATTAGGAATATGGTTGAGTCAGCAGGGGCTGCTGCCTCCCTCCTTTCCCCATTGTTGGTCATGTAATGCTTAATAGGCCAGTGCAAGACTTACTCCAGAAGCGGATGGAACTTCCATCACAGAAGTCCATCTGTGTTTAGACCAGAGAGACACCAGAACACAGAAAGAGACCTGCACCACTCTTTTGGCTTCGAGCTTTGCTCTTACAATGCTGCTATGCTTCCTGTAGAGGGAATTTGATCAAGGTATTTTACACCATGGTGTAGGATTGTACTGAAGGCTTCTGAAGTGACACTTCTTAGGGGTGACTTCTGATGTGAATGGGGAACTAGGGTCTTTGATGTAATGGAGGATCCAAATATAAAGAGGGCTCCAGTTGTTAAGGGGTGCACATCATATGAAGGGGAGCTGCAGATGTGAAAGGGGGCTTCAGATGTAAAGGTGTGAATAAAGAGCCTTACCTTACAGCCAGCCACTGACAACTATTGCTGGGGAAGGGGTATTTTTACAGCCAGCCACTAACCACAAATCTTCTGGCGAAAGTGTTCTTGTCTTAACAGTTGCTGACTGCCTATTTTATGTAGTTTTCCTTTAAGTAAGCTAGAACAGATATATGAAATGAAAGAGCTTTCATCATTATTATTATTATTATTATTTTGCTGTAAGTAGAACATGTCTATTACAATGTATGTTTATTTATGCTGAAATGGCTGATTTTTTTAAATCCTGGAGCAAGAGAGGACTCCAAACAAGTGGAAAAGAAAACAACAGGAAATAGTATGTTAGGTGGTTAGGAGTAATGGAATTTTAAGAAAGAAAAGATGGTGGTATATCTGTAAAGTTGCCACACTCCTATTAAAGGGTCAAACAACCTGGTGGAAAGGCATGCAGACAATAATAACTGTCTCCGCACAAATAGGTCCCTCTCTATGCTTGGAGGGATGAGCTGATGATCTTATGCCAAGGGCACTTTTAGATCCTGGTGTTGACAGATAAAGAAACGTAGGCCCTAAAATTGGGTATAGTGGTGCAGTGACCATCAGAATATAAAGGTCTGGAGAGTGTTTTTTTCACAATGTATTTTATTGAATGTGACAGTAGAGAAGAACACAGATAGTTCTTATCTACTGTTGCATTATTTTTGTGAAAAAAAATCTTCAGATCTTAATATTCTGATGGTCGTCTCTGCACACCACTATACCCTGTCTTGGGGCCTATATTTCTTCATGTTTTATATCCTAGACTTGGGCTTTAAGTTTGCATTGAACTTGCAGTATTTTGGCCGCACAAATAAATGTTTGTTGCAGGGGTTTAGATGTATTAAAATGCAAGTTTGAATTCTGTAGTATTCGCTACCAGAGAATTAGAGTAGTAGAAAAAAGACACTCATATCATTATATTGCTTTTGAGCAAGAAACAGATATCTCAGTTACTGGCAAATGAAATCACATGCTGGCTGCTTACATCTCTTGGAAAGCTCCGTAATGGCTTTTTTATTTATGTATTAATTTATCTGATATTAATCTGTTAATTCACTGTATAGTTTCATTAAAAGCTTTTGTTTATACATTTTAATCCACATGTTAAAACACACATTTATATAAATCAACACAGGATAGTGAAATATACCATGTGTACACATGCATTTTGTCCAGCTTTATTTACCAAATGCTATAGCTGTTAGGGTATGTATTTTTGTAGTCTTATAGTACCAGACCCCCTATGATGAGTCATGGCATTTGCCTGATCCATAGCTATACCTTAAAGCTAAGCCCCTGCAGGAGGCTGAGCCCAGTTACATCAAAAGAAATCAAGAGCTGCATGAGACTTCCAAACCACTACTCTAGGATCACACACTTTAAAAATTCACAAATTTACAGTTATAATTTTTTACTATATACAGTACAGATAACAGCTTTATTAACTGAAATAAAATAATACAAAAATAGATGTGCACAATGTATTGGGTTATGTGCAATCAGCGGTATGTCAGCATGCCCCTGACTCTCTCATTGCATTATATATCTCTTTATTGATGGTGGATGTATACAGCTTCTCTGCAAGTGGAATTAAAGGACCACTGTAGTGAAAATATTGTATGTGCATATAACTTGTGATGATAGTATTTTAGTATATAAATTAAGAACAGCATGGTCATCTGAAACAGCAAATGAACAGTGTTGTCACACTGCTACAGGAAGCGGGAAATGATTAATACAAATGCTATTGATAGACGCAGTTAGGGCCCATTCACACCACCTCTGTGAGTTAATCACATAGTTCTGTGTGCACCTCCCGTGCGATAACAGTGCGGGAAGTGCATTGTATTCCATATACTTGAATGGCATCCCAAACGCACATTTTGGCCACAGTGATATAGGCCATGCCGTAATGTGCGGTACTGCAAATACCATTCGTTGTGGTGCAGTACGATTAAAAAAAAGAGTGCATCCAATATTTTTTTATCGCGCCACAAAAGTGCATGAACTATATTTTTTTTATATATACTACAAATACTGTGCAGAGTGATTAAAAAAATAGTGTGTGGACTATTTTGTGAACTACACTGCAACACACGGTATTTGTGGTACCGCACGTTGCCACAGTTGATTGCACTGCAGCGAGATTTGCCTTTGGAGTGTCATTCAAATGAATGGCATGCAATAAACCTCCCGCACTGTAATTGCATCGCGTTGTGTGGTATTGTTTATTAATCGCATAGTACCATGTGAATAACGCACAGGTGGTGTGAACGGGCCCTTAAAGCTGAACTTCAGGCAGTTATAAAATACATAACTTAATGCAGCTCTATACTAATTCATGCATCATCTAAGTAGTTAGAAAGAACTGAAACTTTTCTTCAATAATGAATCCAGATCAAACAAATATACATTGCCCAAAAAAGCATTGCTTTACATTTTTGCTCACTTACAATCATCATGCTTCTGAGCAGCTGCTTCCAAGTCTCTTAGCTCAGCTTCCCTAAACTTCCCTAAACACCAGGCTCAGAGCAGACTCCAGCAACTATCCATCTACTATCTTGTAAAAGGGAGAGGGGGCCGGGGAGAGGGGAGTAGCTTGAATTGCTGGGTCTGCGTGTTTGTGGAGATGCACACACAAGAGTGACCTCAGAGCAGTGGCATAACAATCACCAGCCGGCCGCTATGGGGCCCGAGGCACGGCGGGGCCCGGCGATCGAGGGGGCGGGGTCCGGTGATCGAGGGGGGCTGTCGATCGAGGAGGCGGGGCCCAGTGATGGAGGAGTCGATCGTGGAGGAGAAGGAGGCGGACAGAGGATCAGGGCTGACAGGTAAGACTGCTTGACCACCCGCCTGAGACCCTGCACAGCCTACCATAGAGAGTCTATGGTGGGCTGTGCAGGGTCACCCTTAGGTGGGCTGTTTGGGTTATCAGGTGGGTGTAACTAGAAATCACAGGGCCCCATACAAAATTTTGTTATGGGGCCCTGTGATTTCTAGTTACGCCCCTGCCTCATAGCACTCTGTTTGAGAAAGGAGTCACTCTAAAACAGGAGGTCAGGGCCAGTGCTCAGGGGACCAGATGATGCTGCAGGAAACTAACAGGGTTATTCACAAAAGGGTGAAGAGTTTGGAGAAGGCAGGAGAAGTGAACAATCTAGGACAAAATATCTAATTTGGAAACATTCTCCAATTCAGCTCACTTACCAGTTCAGCTATGTTGTCCTAGATTGTTCACTTCTCCTGCCTTCTCCAAACTCTACACCCTTTTGTGAATAGACCAGTAAAACTTTTAAACATCAAGGAACAGCATTCATTGTAAGTGATTTCATCAGCATTTGAAATAGCTTAAAACCCTTTTGACTTTAATATCACTTTCATTTTATTTTATCTTTCAATGCAAGTGCTTTGTAAATACCAGAATTTTACTTGGCATCAAGCTTTTGCAATACACTATACAGCAGTGTTCAGACTGGGAGAGGAAGAAGCAGCTCAAGGAAGCAGTCAGCTGTGCTACAGTGCTCTTGTGGTAAAACGGAACATGCTGGTAGAAGGAGAGAACAGAATGACATAGAGATTAATCACATGCATCATCAGCATGCTCCTTCTCTTTTAGAGTCCGTTCACAGGCTAGGGAGAGAACAAGATGTATAAGTGTTACTTCAAGTGTTTCTAATGTCAAAACTTGTTTTATCAGTTTTCAAAACAGCATTTAAAAGAGAACTATGGGGTAAGTGTTTTTCCCCATAGTACTCTCAAGGGTCACAGGAGGACATATACCAGCGTCCTCCCGTGACCCACAGCTCAGTATATTGTGAGCTACAGCTCGCGGTATACTGAGACCGCCACAGCCGGGATGGATCCCGACAGTTCTGTCAAGATACACCCAGCTGCTCGAATGACAGTTGGCTCTGCCTATCTAGAGGCAGAGTAAGCTGTGCCCGCCCCCTCCCCAGTCCGTTCCTCCAGTCATCGCTGGACGATCGGAGCAGGGAGGGGGGGGGGGGGGGCCCCGACGGGGGAGGGGG